TGCTGAAGTTGAAGAACCACTGGCATATGGCATGAGCTGGGGGTGGGATTCACCTGCTACACAGAGGCTGCTATAGCTGAGTCTAAGTATCCTTCATGGTCAGCAGGAGTTACGTTTTCATCAGCATTTTATGAGAATTCTTACTGCCAAAATCTTTTTATATGTAATTTTTGGCAGCTTGATAGGCAAGAAAAAAATTATTTGTCTTATTTAAAACGGAACATTTTTCATATATTTATAGTTAGCATAAATCTTGCATGTTACAGTTCAAACAAATTTTTTTTACTTTATTCTAACATAAAAATCGTCCCCAGCCAGTCACTATTGAGTGGAGGGGCAAACACACTGAACAGTTGTGAGGGGGTCAAAACACTCTATCTAGCCCTGGCCGGTTTGGCTCAGCGGTTAGAGCGTCGGCCTGCGGTCCAGAGAGACCTGGGTTCAGTTCCCGCTAAGGGCATGTACCTCAGTTGCAGTTTGTCCCCGGCCCTGGTTGGGTTGTGAGGGTGGCAACCACTCGATGTGTCCCTTTCACGTTGATGTTTCTCTCTCTCTCCCCCCCCCACCCCATCTGAACAAAATATAAAAAAAAAAAACAAACACACACTCTATCTAGCCTGCTCTATGAAGAATCACAGGATAAAGATAGTGTTTTAGTTACCAACTAAATTATGAATATATAAAATAACATCTGTTCCTGTTCTCTATTTTTATAAAAAGAGAAAGGAAACTGCTCTCAAAAAATAATTGAAGAAAAGAAAACTAATAAGAGGAAATTCTTCAAACTAAACAAGTGTAAGTATTAGCAGTATATGGGATAAAACACAGGCAGAAATGTGGTATGTATTTCCTGAAAAGGTTAGCTGTTAAGTGGAAGGGATCACGTTTCTGTATTTTCTTAAATAGAAAATTTGGCAAATTCAGGGTGGTCCATGAGTTTTAAATAATAACAATTTGCTCTCCAATCTGGTCTCATTTAGCTTCCTTTTTCACATCGCCACTTTCTGTCAATGCTTAGTTTGCAATTCATTAAAAAAAAAAAAAAGCTAAGAGTAAACATTTTTAGAAAAGAATAGAAAATAAAACAACAGCTTCTTCAAGGTTGGGCTCAATTAACAAATAAATCATTTACACAGAAATACAATCTTCTCACTTCTGCATACAAACTATTAGTACAGATCTTCATTACTGCTCACCTCGACTGGTAACTGTTTCCTTCCCCTTTTTATTGCAGGCTGCTGCAAAATTAACTTTCTCACAGCAAAGGCCCAGTAACCTATCTACCACTGCTCCCCGTGAAGTACAGACAGGATGTTTGCCAGGCGCAGGCCACAGGGAATCCCCTCTGGGGAAACTAGCAGAGGAAAGAATGCATTTATCTTGAAAACTGAGAAATTCCTGAAAAGACTGAAGGCCGTTGTCAACTTTGGGTGGAAGGCATGTAGAGGTGGAATAACAGGTAAACAGAGTGTTGTTAGGTTCTGCTCTGCCTCTCCTTCAGATTTCCTTTGGACCACTAGACAGTCTGCTCCTTACAGCACTGTGAGTCAGAAGGCAGCACCAACAGCCCACGTAATGTGAGGGAGGTTGACCAGTTGCCCTGAATACTCACTCCTCCAGTTCTCTTCATCAAATCTGCATAAGGGGATGATGGATCACATGTGAGATCACTGCCTTCTTCCTGTCAGAGGAAAGCCTAGTGAAGGGCAAAGGTGGGTGACTGACAGCTGTTGTCTAGGACTCTGCCCAGGAGCTCCTCTTCTAACCTCTTCTTTTTTTTCTTTTAATTGTTGAAAGTATTACAGATGTCCCCCTTTTGTTCTCACTGACCCCCTTCCTTCCCTCTCCCCTCTTCTTAAAATCACAAGGAAGCCATAAAGTAAGGCCTGAGCCTTGATGGCTCATCCTGGTACCTGATAACTCTATGGGAATATTAGCTCACAGCCTAAAGTACCTGAAGTCAGAACCACTCTAGTTATCAAGCAGAAACAGAACAAACAGAGTAAAATTTTAAAATAAACACAACTTATGATGTTAAAAGATATTGGTAATATAAAGCAGGGAAAAAACGTTTTCAAAGAAGAGATAAATGGAAAATTAAACATATAAAAAAAATAACACTTGAAAGAAAGAAGATGGGATAAATAGCAAGCTGAATATAGCCAAAGAATAAATTGCAGAACTAAAAGAGCAGACTGAGAAAAGCTGATGGAAGACAGGGGAAAAAAGGGTTAAAATAAAAAGGAGATAAAAATAAAAGAAGGGAGAAATATTTAAGATAATAATAAAAACAATATTCCTGGATTAACAAAAGATGTCCTGGCCCTGGCTGGTTTGGCTCAGCAGTTAGAGCATCGGCCCACGAACCAGAGAGACCTGGGTTTGGTTCCCGCTAAGGATACGTACCTCAGTTGTAGTTTGTCCCCGGCCCGGTTGGGGTCATGTGGATGGCAACTACTTGATGTGTCTCTCTCATGTGGGTGTTTCTCTCTCTCTTTCTCTTCCACCTTCTCTCCCTCCAGCTCTATCTCAAGATAAATGTGAAAATGTCCTTGGATGAGGATTAAAAAAAAAAGAAAGTTGGCCCGGCGGTGTGGCTCAGTGGTTGAGCATTGACTCATGCACCAAGAAGTTGCTGGTTTGATTCCCTGTCTGGGCACATGCCCAGGTTGTGGGCCTGATCCCCAGTGTGGGGCATGCAGGAGGTGGCCAGTCAATGTTCTCTCTCATCGATGTTTCTATCTCTCTCTCCCTCTCCCTTCCTTTCTCTCTAAAATCAATAAAGGAAAAAATAAAGAAAGAAAGATTCAAGAACATAGATGACAAGAATTGTTTGCCAAAGAAGAGTGATTAAGAACTCAGATATAGAATTGGGAAATTTAAGCACATCAAAGAAAAGGAGAAAATTATAAGAGCTTCCTTACAAAAGTATAAGAATCAGACTGGCATCAGATTTCTTAACAGCAACACTAAAGCCAAATATTTGGGAATTTTCCAAATATCACGCTGTTATTGATTTCTAATTTAATTCCATGTGATCTAAAAATTTACTTTGTATGACTAAATCCTTTTCAATTTATTGAGACTTGTCTTGTGGCTCAAAATATGGTCTTTCTTGAGCAAATACTTCACCAAATAAGATATATAGGTAACAAACAAGCAGGAGAAAATGCTCAACACAATTAGTCATTAGGAAAATGCAAATTAAACCATAATAAAATAATTCCACACCCCAACCAAACCAAGTGTTGCCAAGGATACAGAGGAACTGGAACTCTCATTACTGCTGGTTGGAATATGAAGTGGTTCAACAACTTCAAAAAATAGTTTGGCAGTTTCTTAAAAAGTTAAACATATACTACCATTCCTAGTCATTCCACTCCAATGTATCACTTAAGGAAAAAGAAAGTATATGTTCATACAAAGACTTATACATGCATGTTGATAGCACATTTACTACTGGTAATAACCACAAGTGGAAACAATCTAAATGTCCATTAACAGATGAATGGATAAACAAATTGCAGTACATTCATATAATGGAATATTCAGAGGTCTCAGTCCAGCTCTACAGGGCTCATCCTCCAACTTTATAGATTTTGTTTTATTTATTTATGTTTTTTTTTATTGATTTTTTGGGAGAGAGAGATAGAAACATTGATGTGAGAGACAAACATTGATCAGCTGCCTACTGCACACCCCCCACTGGCCAGAACCGGGACATGTGCCCTGACCTGGAATCGAGCCAGGACCTCTCAGTCCATGGGACGATGCTCAATCCACTGAGCTGGGCAAAAGTTCTTATCTTTAAAATATTTATACTTAAGTGTTTATAGAAGAAAGAATATGTTGTCTGTGATTTGCTTCAAAATAACCTCAGGGGAGGGATTGCTAAAGTAGGTTGAGCTATAGACAAAACAAGATTAGATGTACATGTACAATTATTACAAAATAGTGATACAGAGTTCATTATACTATTCCACCTTTTATGTTTGGAATTTTCCACAAAGGGCATTTTCAAAAGCATGCACACTGTAGTATTTATATAATAAAAATGCTTACACAAAAGTGTAACTATCAAGTGTATTAAAATGGTTGCCATTGGTGGGAGTGGGGATGGGATCAGAAGAGGGAATAAAAGAAAATTACAATGAATGAAACAGAAGGGTCTAGCATAGACCAATGACCAAGCTATTCTATAACCCCTGCAAAGTATTCACTGACTACTGCAGCTAGGAGAACATGACTGAGAAGCAGGAGATGACCAGATGTAACTAGACCGAGAGCTGCCCTCTCCATGATCATGCCACCACCAGGAGAGGTGAGGAGAAGCACCAACACTCTCCGAAAATGCTACAGGAAACAGGGAAAGAAAGGTCACTGACCCCAGTGTCCCCAGAACCAACAGCTGACTTTGTAGGAGAGCCCTGGGCCCGGTGCCTTTGTTCCCTTATGTAGCTGGGAAGAGCAGATGGCAGAGAGATGCCTGGAAAAGCAAGGTGGTGAACACCTGCATTGGAATTGGGATTCTGCCATTTCCTAGATATAACTTAAAAAAATATGCTTAAATACTCCAAAGGTTGCTTTTTCTCAACTGCTCAATGGAGCTATTATTGTCTACTTCATATGGTTGTTGTGAGAATTGAGAGGATGTGTAAGACTTTTGAACACAATGACAGAACACACTATGGCCTCAGCCAATGGAACTCAGTCTGTAATTATTTGATAGTGGCCTTGAATTAGATAAATCAGTCTCCTTGATCTTTTCCTGTCTTGTAGAATGAATCATCTACCCAAACAATGAGATAGCATATCTTAACAATGCAAACTATAGCTTTAAAAAATTTTTTTTGTTTTTTGAGAATTAGGATCATTTATTGGAGGATGTCAACAGAGAACACAGAAAATGGGAATAAGTATTAGGGGCTTGAGAGTGTGGGCTCAGAGTAGAGGAGTCCATCCTGGGAGAATGATCAGGTCCCAGGCCTGTGCTGAAGTTTTCAGGCGGTACCCAGGGGTATGGTGAAGGAGAGGTAGTCCCCAAGGGCGCCCCCACGGGGCCGGTAGATCTGGAAGATGGTGATCCAGGTGGAGAGTACAATCACCCAGAGGAGGAAGCCCACAGCTGAGCGCCAGACAGAGCCTTTGATTTGGCTCTGCTCTGTATATGCCGGGGCAAGGAAGGCCTCTCGGAAGAACCAGAAGATGTGGACCAACCAGAGAAAAGGCAGGAAAGCAAACCCACCCAGGCAGTACTTCTGGCACAGGTTCAACTTCTCCCCGTTGGACACTCGCTCCAAGTTCATAGTTGCACTGGGGCCGGTCTTCCCGAGGGTCTGCGGGGCAAGACCCAAGCCTTGACACTGTGAGATGCAAGGATTGCAAAAACCACGCTCCTTTTACGACAAAACAGATAAAATGAAGGATGGGTTTGCTGCAAGTAGGGCACCTCCGCCCCCATCAGCAAGCCGATTGTGTTATTTATGGGACGCTATTTATGTTTATTGGGGTGCGTAAAACGACCCCCATCTCACCAATGGAGTTTACTTCCTCTTTAAAAAATTTTACCATAAGCACCAATCAAAGGGTTATTATTCTGCTCCCACGAAACCCTCATACACTCAACGTGAGTACTCAGACACACCGCAAGCTTTCTCACAAGATAAGAGATGTTCCTTCTTACTCTCTGCTACGGGTGTGGCCTGAGCCCAGCATGGAGGCCACTTGAAATGCCTCAGATGTGGTTTTAGAAATAAGATGGTAAATGGGTTTGTGCCTTTTATTAATGGTATCTAGAGAGAATTTTCTTCTGTAGATAATTTTTTTTATCCTCACCCGAGGACATTTTTGCATTTTTTGTTCAGACAGAGCGGGAGGGAGAGAGGAAGAGAGAGAGAGAGAAACATCGATGTGAAAGGGACACATCGAGTGGTTGCCACCAGCAAGACCAACCAGGGCCCGGGACAAACTGCAACCGAGGTACGTGCCCTTAGCGGGAACCGAACCAGGGTCTCTCTGTACCGCAGGCCGACACTCCAACTGCTGAGCCAAACCGGCCAGGGCTGTAGATAATTTTTTTACAGCACTTGCATATATGTTATGTTGTTTAACCCACACAGTACACACAATAACTGTGAGACAGGGCTGGAATTATGACCATTTCCAGTTTTGTTTTGTTTTTCTTAATCTCCCCCTCCCCTACCCCCAGAACCCAAACTAAGAGGTTAATTTATTGGCCCAAAATCATGTCATTAGCACACTAACCTTTGAAGGAATGAATGAGTTAATTAATGGGCTATTAAGCAGGGAATTTAAGACACGAATCCATGCTATCACTATTTTCTTTCTTTCCTTCCCTTTTCTCCTTTTCTCCCGTCCCCACCTTATTTCTATCTGTCTGTCTCTTTCTTGTAACTTCTCATAATCCCCATGAATTTCCACGTCCTTCCTCTGGGACTCTGGAATGCAACAGTAATGCGATTACTAAACTACAAGCCTCAGAAAACAAAACATAATAGCCATTGTTTTTTATTATTTCCACGGTGTTCTTTCTAAGTACAGTTAAAAGAAACCCAGCCCTCATTAATCATGCAACAACATGTTACTTCAATTGAGCTATTAACAGACTGTAAATGTTGAAGTAAATATTTTCAGGCTTACGTTGGCATTCTTTTTGCTTTTAAATAAACTACCATATAATCATCTGACTGTAAAACAACCCTAAAACTGTATAAACTAGACATAACTTGAAAACTAAAACTTGGAAACCTCTAAGCATATTTCTTTAGTTAAAATGTGATGACCCGAATCTCCTTTTCACATCTAGAAAACACAAAAATGAATGAAAGAGAAAACTCTTGTTGAGGAGTCCATCTTCAAGCATAATTTATGTTGTTTTCTTCTGAAGGGGAGAAAACAGGACTTATAAGCAACTTTGGGTATGATATAATTAATATGGGTTAAATTGCTCTTTTATTACAAATTTTACATCAAATGTGCCACATTACTGAAAAACAGAATTCTCTGTACTTTCTCTCTCTCTCTTTTTTTTTTTTTTACGTTCTAGATGCTTTCCACACCCTGTACTAGGACCTGTATAGCAATGTGGTCTACCTACAGAATATTATAGTGTAATATTAGCAAAGGCTTGCCGTTAAGCATCATTTTCATCCCAAGTAAACTGTGGGAAAAGAAAATTCTTAACCATGTAAGTCCATTAATCAACAGGCTTAAAATATCAAATCAAATATTGTTTGCCATTTTGACACATTTTGGCTTTCTGAATATATCCTATCATAAATCTTTCACAAATGCTTCAGGCTTTAGAAATTGTTTAATATCATGTTTCTAAAGATCTATAAATTCATAACAGAAGCTAAGGACTGTCAAAGGTAACTAAAACATCAGTTTTTCAATAACCTTTTAGAATGATTATCTCACTTTCAAGGAATTTTGGAGGAAGCTCTATGCTCTGCCTGAAGGAAAAGGGGGGAAATTCTCTGTCCACTTCAACAGACAGACTTTATCCTCCGCGGGAGCAAAGGGGAGTGTTCTAGAGTTGGCAGCTTTTTCGGCTTGCGAAGTCACCACACTGCTACCTAAATCATTAGCAAACTGACTAGAAGACCGTCCAGCACACATAAGTCATCACAATAACAAGACTGTCTTCAAAATGGCATCCAAAACTATCGAGTTTATTTTCTTGTTTATTGCCTGTTTTCTCCCTCTAGAAGGAAAGCTCCATGGGAACAAAAATACTGCCCCTCTCATGCACCCAATACACCCACACTGAGAACAAGACGTACACAGAGTGGGTACCTAGTAAATATTTGTTAAGTAACCAAGTACAGGTTTAATCTGACGGGCAGAAAACACCTTACTTATGTCATCATGAAAATGTATACATCATTCAGACTTCCAAAGTGTTTTGTAGCCCCGATCAACATTGGTACTAATTTCATAGCTAGTTTATGGACATATTTAGTCTATGTCATTAAATATGAAAAGACATCTGCAAAAGAGTTCTCAGTTATTTGTTTTGCACAGTGAAAATAAAAAGATAGCGCTTAAATCTAACTCCAATAATGATCTTGCCTTCAACGACACATTCTCATATTCAAGGTTCTAGCTTGGCCATTCTTATTGCAATCTAATCATGACTCAGGAAACCTACTGAATTTCCCCATGATACTTTGTCAGCAATTACAGGACTGTGCTCTGACCTTACTGAGGGTTGTGTGAACAGTGATTAGTTCCCTGTGTGTGAAAATGGCTCATGATCTCTCACAAAAGTTATATTGGGTTTTCCTAAACAGGAAAAAGGGCTTTGCTGTGTATCTGAGAGACATCTCTGGACAGAGAATTTTCTTTTCTTTCTTTATTTTAGTGAATGATATGACTAAATGATACTAAAAAGGAGTCGCCTGTTTCACATCCATGGATTTACTTCAGGATCATACTTAGTGAGGGTTTTCCTTTAAAAAGTTATCATCGCTTAAGGGTCTTCTGCCTGTACTAGGTCTCATGGTAAGCACTCTCACCTCTCAAGCCTGTTCTTCACGTGATTGGTGATTTAACCTCTGAGCTGTCTTTTTTCTTTCTCTAATCTTCCTCTCTCAGTACATGACATAGGTATTATTCCAAAACCTCAAAATTATGGGCAAAGATACCAAAGAGTTTAGAGAGAAAATTAGAAATGTATAAAAAAATTTTAAATATCATCAGGTGTAAGAGTTTCTTTGGTATAGTTTTCACCCAGTCAAGATGACTATCTTATTCTGGAAGTTTCTACTGAATGAAATTGCACCGTTGCTCACTGGAGCAAAGAGGGTCCTGAATTTTGCAGTTAAAAGTCCTGGGTTTGAGTGCAGGTTCTATCATTCAACTCTTCGCCAGCTCAGTTTTCTCATCTCTAAAACAAAATTCTACGAGATTATATAATCCAGTTGTGTAAATAGAGCATATAAAATGGGGCATATATATTAAAGTTGGTTATTATATATTCTATTCTCTATTCTATTCTATTCTATTCTATTCTATTCTATTCTAATTTTATTCTCTTCTGGCAGCCTACATATTAAGACCCATAGGCAGAAGCTCAGATGGGAGTACTGTCAGGATAGACTTCATGAGGAGGAGACAGGTGAAGCTGGGCAGTCAGGCCATCCCCCTGAGAGGAGGGATGCTGACCTCATCACTTGCCTCAAGCAAGTAGTTACTCTACCCAGAGAAGAAAGTCATTTCCTGGGCCAGTGTTCTTTTGGTATTGGTTTTTTAATATTTTTTTTATTCTCATCCGAGGACATTTTTGCATTTATCTTCAGATAGAGCGTGAGGGAGAGAGGGAGGAAGAGAGAGAGAGAGAAACATCGATGTGAGAGAGACATACTGAGTGGCTGCCACCCACACAACCCCAACCGGGGCTGGGGACAAACTGCAACTGAGGCATGTGCCCTTAGTGGGAACCGAACCCTGGACTCTTTGGTCCATGGGCTGATGCTCTAACCGCTGAGCCAAACCTGCCAGAGCTGGTATTGGTTCTTAAAAAAACAGTTGACTGAGGATATTTTTAAAAAGGGGGACGGGGGTTGCCCAGGCCAGTTTGGCTCAGCCGGTTGAAGCATTGGCCTGCGAACCAGAGAGTCCTGAGTTCGGTTCCCACTAGAAGCACGTACCAAATAAATAAATAAATAAATAAATAAATAAATAAATAAATAAATAAAAGGGGGGCAGGGGAAAAACTATCTGCTAAATTTCAGCTCTTGAAGAACTGGGTTTGTGATGAAATACTCACTAATCAATGGCCACTGCCAAGTGCTGGCAGGATTGGAGCAATAAAGATAGGTGGCAATCCCAGCTTGGGCTGGGACTAGCAATGTGACTTTAGGGCAAGACAAGTAACATCTCAGCCTCAGTTTGCTCCCCGGCAAAATTGACCCACTACACAGGTGTGTTTTAATAAAATGAGATAAAATATTTGAAAGCTACACTATTGTACACAAATATGAGTTATTGGTGTGCTTGTTTTTTGAGTCCAGTTCTTAGGAGCGAAGTTTACTAAATTTGTAAACTAAATTTGTAAACCACATGAAAGCTATCTGCTATAAGTTTATACATAAAAAGTTAAAACTTAAAAAATTAAATCAAACTGTTGATATAAAGCACAAGATATAGTATAGGTTTATGAGAAATGTTCCTTCCCTCATCCCTTAATTCCCCCTTTCTTCTGTCAAAACACTCATAGTCCATAAAGGCCTATTCAAAATTTAGGTATTTCTGTTTATATGGTTTGGTTTGGTTTTTAGCA